ATTTCCATTTTCAGGTATTGATCCCCTAAATAAGCTAACTCAGCCAAATAAGAGCATAAATCAAGTTATTCTGGGATGAATCAAAGAAAGGAGTAAAGTAGAGCAAAAGGAAGCTCAAAAGTGGAATTTCAACATCTTCGATCGATCCAACATCAGTCTTCGATCGATCGAACTTCCATCGATCTCAGCACTTCAAAATAGATCCAAGCCATGATGTCATTTTCAGAGATCCCAAAAGTTCGATCGATTCAACATCATTCTTTAATCGATCGAACTTTCTTGTCCTTATCCAGATGCCAGACCTTATCCAGCTGTACCACCCTACCAATCGCTTTTGTCCTTTTCCCAAAAATATCTTCAAAATATCTTAGATTTGTTTTTATCCAAAAAGGTACCGCCATTGAGGATCGATCCAGCCTAAGTTCGATAGATCTCAGCCATGTTCGATCGATCCAAGTCCAAGGTTCGATCAATCGAGCTTCCTCTAGTGTGAAAAAGTTAAATTTCCAACTCACAAAAAGTTGTCCTTTATCCAATCATTGGGGAATATTTGTTGTACGACCCTAGCTTATTTTGGGTGTCATTTGACCTACCTATATAAGGATAAGGATTACTTTTTATATCATACCACATCATATCCTATCATACCTTGTAGAACTCTTAGAAAGGAAGCTTAGAGGAGGAGGAGGCTAGAGACACCATTGGAGACTCTTGATCAACCAAGGAGCAAATCTCTACCATGGAGTTAGCCCTTGAGGGTTGGAGGACACCATCCATGAGTGGGCTAGACATCCTCTTGGGGCTAGAGTTAGCCCTAAGCATGCTTTCTACATCTTGATTTATGTATTTTTGAGGGAATTTGTATTGTGATACATGTTTTGACATATTTATATATAGATCTTGTTTATTCAATGATTTGTATGGTTTAATGCTTCCAATTGATCATTTCATTCTATCCATATGTCTATGCATGCTAGAATAGATGTTCATGTGTTTGCCTCTATTTCTTATGTTGTTGATGCATGTCTATGTGTGTTAATGCTATAGATCTAGAGATTGTCAAGACATAGTGCTCAATGGAATGTCCTTGTGGTTTATTTGATGGTTCATGCTTATTTCTTGATGGATTGTACCTCTCCCTTAATTTAATTAGCTTAATTTCATGTAATTAGCTTAATTGTAGTGTAGTGGTAGCTAGATGTTAAATGGGAGGACAATCCATGCTTGTTGTTTGATGTTCCATACTCATGAAAGCAAGTGGCATATTTCTTTAATTTTGTGTTGTGTTTGGTTGTGAGCTTAAAGAAATGATTAATGGCTTAATTTGATATGTTGTGCTATCCACTATGTTGCTTAGACAATATATGTTTAATTTGTCATCCATGCTTGTTAAAACAACCACACACACACACCATTGTCATAATACATGCCTTTCCCCTCATTAATCATTCATTAAAGGTATAGAGGAGTTGTGCTTAGTGGTGATCTCTAAACCCCAAGATCTCTCTCTCTCTCATTTTACCTCTATTGCATTATTGTTTAGTTTAAAGTGCATCTTAGCTTAATTCAACCACCAACCAATCTTTTGATCACTCGACCTACTAACCCTAATTTTGATTCCACAACCTCTTGCGGCCATCACAATCCCTTGGGACGATCCCTACTCACCCTAACTATATTTTTAGTAAAATGTAGTAATGGTAAATTATAAATGTAAAACTTGGCCCTCGTCTTAATGCACACTCTCTAAGCTTGTGGTGTAGCGACGCACCAACAAGCTCGTGGAGTACATTGAGAAGAATAGCTGGCTTTTCTTTACTACCACGAAGCGTAGCTTCTCTCCTGATAGTACACTATTTCTACTATAATATTAGTCGAGTTCATGATGATGGATCTTTTGAGGTTTCTATCTTTAGGACTGACTATCGCGTGAATAAAGATGTTATTTGTGGCATCTTAGGCATTCCAATGAGGGTGAGCAATATAGGTCATATCCTACCTCTTACTGATTCAGGCCTAAATGGTAAGAAATCTACGACGTTTTGTGCATTCCAAGTTCTCCGAGATTTGATGACCACATCCCATCTCGCTATCTCACTTATGAGACAACGTTTCTAAATTTGTTCGCTATGGCAAACCTTGGCTATTTTGGGAAGAAGGATGTGATTGTTTTAAATCAGGCTCAAGTGCTATATCTTCTTGCTATTGGAGCAACAATTCACATTGCCCTTTCTATCGTGAATTTGATGGTTGCTCACTACAAGAGCAATACCAAAAGGAATTCCTCTCCATTCCCTATGATCATCATGGGACTTTATAGGAAGTTTCAAATTTTACTTCTTCCCCGAGCTCATCATCAGGAGATTATGTCTGAGTTAGATCTTCGCGCCTTGAACAAGTCTAAGTCTGCAATGGAGAATGCAAGGAAGGTTGTAAGGGGTTCAGACACTACTTCATCTTAGATTCTGGAGATTACACAGATATTTCCCTCCAAAGGGAATTTCATAAGAGATGATGCAAATATGTTGTATTCTCTGCTTCTTCAGAATCAGAAGGCCATGCTTGATACGATTTGTGATATCCAAGCTGAGGTGAGATTCCTTAGAGGACAGCAGACAGGTGGTTCTACTGAGGATGTCTACAGACCTGCTCCTCCAGATCCGTCATTAGTTGTTGAAGATGAGGATGACGAGACAGATGATGGTGATGATGATGATAGGGATGATAGTGGTAGTGATGGTGGTGATTATGAGGATATTCTGACTATTGCTGTTTCTTTTGAGGGCGATATTGATGCTTGATATCTTTTGTTATCTCATTCATACATTCATGCATTATATTATGTTCTGTTAACTTTGTCATTATTTTTGGATATTATTCTTTTTGGATTAGTGACATGTTTTAACTGAATTAACTGTTTCTCTTCTATATTCTTCGCTCTGATATTTGTTTTATCAATTTGTTCCAAAAAGGGGGAGAACAATGGATAATTAAGGGGGAGAACAATGGAAAATTAGATAATTTATTCATAGGGAGTTTTTATAAATTATTTTATTACTTTCACTGGTAGTTTTGCTTGATCCTTATGCAGGAAATCAAGTAAAATTTTGTCCAAGAGAAGAAGAGAATAGAGAAGAAAAATTCCGTATCCTTGACAACTTGTAATATATTTTCTTCCGCTTAGGTAAATTGTATTTGTTTTTAAGGTTTTCTTACGAAATTGCCAAAGGGGAAGATTGTGAGATATAATTTTTATAAATGGCTAATTTCGATGTCAAAACGAAGTCCGATCGAGCTGTAATTCTCAAGTTACCATATCAAGATCGAGATTGGCTGTGGAATTGGAAGGTTGTTCAAGTTCGATAATCTTTGATCGACGAAAAAATGTATGAATAACACCTTAGGAAGTTGTTTCCTACTTAGGATACTATACCTACATGGTATATTCTTGAAAGTTATCAAAACAGAATTCTTTCCAAGTTTTAATTCTTCCTTCAGAATTCTGTCAAGTGGTAACCATTACCAAACTTGGGAACCGGTTCAAGAACCATAGCTTCGAAGAAACCATTCTGTCCTTTGGGAACCGGTTCCACTTCTTGGCTACCGGTTCCACCTGCCGATACAGTTTAGGTAATTGTTTCATGTTCTGTCTAAAACTTCCTATTTGGTTTTGAACTCTTCCAAAAGTCCTATGCACAAAAATTACCTTTTCCTATTCATATCCAAGTCTTTGAAAATTCTATATAAACCTTGATTTACATCTAGGTTGATACAGTTTTTGCACTACAACTTCATAATTCTTAAAAGCTTATTAGAGAGATATTTTTGTAGAAAACCAAAGTTGATTTTTCTATCTTTCTAGAACACATATATAAACACAAGAGTGAGTTTAGAGTGTTGTTCAAATCCTGATCGTGATCAAAGTCTCTTACATCTACAATGATCCGAAAAAGTAGATTTACTTCTTCTACATCAAATTCAAATCTTGAAGAACGGAGGTGAAACGATCACACTTTGAAAGGGTCAAAGCATTCGAGGAGTATTGTTTGATATACCAGTAATCCTTCTACAAGAATCAAGAGTAAGCCTGAGGACAAATGTTGTTGAACGGGACGTCGCAAAGTCAGAAGATTGTTAGCGATTGGTGTTTGGTAGAACGATAGGGTGTGAGCCTGAGTCAAATTCTATTGTACTTTGTTTCAAATATAGTTGATCGATTTACTTTGGACTGCATAGTCCACGAGGTTTTTTCCGTGCAAACAGTTGGTCTATTTTACCAATTGGGATTTTCTCGCTAAAAATCCTAATGTCATCTCTAACTCTGTTACTTTACTTTACTTTATCTTGTATGAGATTAATTGCTAAAATAAGTTAGTTAGAAAGACACAAATCTGTTTTTAAAGTATGAAACTTTCAACACAAGTAATCTTCCGCTGCACAACGACATTTAACTCTCTATAACAATCGACTGTGGAGTGAGTTGGAGGAAGTTGAGATCTTTCACACTTCTAATATTTTTATATATCTTTTTCAATACTTTAAAGCAGCCTTTAACTTATAAAAATTCAGCATTGACAAAAATTTGATACCAGAACTTTATATAAGCCTGTATTAAATTTTTTATTTTTTATTTTTGAATTTTTGAGAGAAAAATCAAGTTGAAATTTTTATGGGACTTCTTTATTTTTAGTTTGAGCACACTATTTTGAATATATCTACAAAATTATTTAGTTTATGATAACAACCAGCTCCATTCGATTCTTCACTTTGATCTATTTTTAAAAATCTAAAAATCCATCAAATTACCCTTCTTGCTCTTCATACTGAGATAAATTTATCTCAAGAATCCATATTTGTATTAAATATTATCGACACAATTATTACATTGGTTATACTAGATTGGTCTATCTTAATTTAAAATTTATAACATAATATTATTCAGTTGTCAGGGAAAGTATATGACACACTAACACAAATTGCCATCACATTTTCTATACTAGTTTTTGATTAAAAAATAGAAAAATAATTATAAAATAATAGAACAAATTACACTCACAACCCCTTAAGTTGGGTTAAATCTCATATAGATGCTCTATAAATCGAAGCAACAATAATTGTGGGAGAACTTCCAACACATTAATGCTAGAGCTAAAACCCCATTTCAGTTTCATCATCTATCTAACAAACACTTCAATCCACTAACTTTGCCTATGGGCAATGTAATTAGCCAGAGCAATCAAAGGAGCTGCTTTGTGAGGATCAAGTTCTGCAAGCTGATCCTTGGCCTCCTTGTTCAGCTTCTCTGCAAATTCCCTCGATTTTTCGAGACCCATCAGCTTCGGATATGTCACCTTATCAGCCACCAAGTCCTTCCCTGCAGTCTTCCCCAACTCTTTCGACGACTTGGTGAGATCAAGAATGTCATCAACCACTTGGTACAACAACCCAATACACCTCGCGAACTTCCTCAATTTCTCAGCTTCCTCATCACCACCGCCACCCAAGATCGCCCCGACCACCGCTGCGGCCTCCAGCAATGCGGCGGTCTTGTGTAGGTGAATGAACTCAAGTTGGTCTAACCCAACACTGGACACTCCGGTGGAAGATATATCCACCACTTGCCCTGCTACCACTCCCTCTGCTCCGATTGATTTCCCCAATTCGCCAATTGCGTTGACAATTCTGGCCGGTGAGACCCCAGTGGTGGCGGTGGCAACATGTTCGAAGGCGAAAGCGAGGAGAGAGTCGGCGGCGAGGATGGCGACGGCCTCCCCAAAGACCTTGTGGGTGGTGGGCTTCCCGCGGCGGAGGTCGTCGTTGTCCATACATGGGAGGTCGTCGTGAATCAACGACATGGCGTGGATCATCTCGAGGGCGCAAGCGGCGGGCATTGCCTTCGATTCCTCGCCTCCGACGAGCTCACAGGCGGCGATGCAGAGCAAAGGCGAGACGCGCTTGCCGCCGGAGAGGAGAGAGTAACGCATGGCTTGGTGGATCTGTGGTGGGTCTCTGATCGAAACAGCCTCGTCAAGAGCTTTGTTGACAGACTTGGCCTTCTGGACCATGTAAGCCTTGAAATCGAATTGGGTTTCTTCTTTTGCTTTCTCTGCTTCTGTAATTGCTTCTTGTTTTGTAATGTTTGCAGAAATGGTGGTCGAATAAGAGAAGGGTTGGTTTCGTGTGAGACTGTGTGTGGGCGAAAACTGATAGTTTGGGTAATTGAAACTGGTTTTCAATGGATTGTAGATTAAACCCATGAAAGATCTGTATCGGTTTGGCTCATTCAGAAGTGAACAGGTTTGAACCCATGACTTCACAACATCCATAGATCTCATCATTTTAGATCTATTTACACCGGATGTGTGGGTTGACCTAATCAATAATAGTCTAGGTCTTTCTAGACTATATTTGCTTTGGTTCAACTGTTGGATGGGTTGGGCTATATAATTCATCTGTTTGTTGGGCTGGGTTTGCTTCTGGCCTTTTGTTTTTGTATTTTGCTATTCTGGGCATGGCCTATGTCATTTACTTATTAATACAGTAATAAACAAATAGAGAACGATTCCGGACCGCTACAAAATTTGACATCGCATATATCATCCTTTTTATATTGAGTCAAAGAAGCATTCTTACAATTGAGATTATATATGTTACGGTAATGTGCAAAAATATCCGGAATTTTGTTTCAATTTGTAAAAAATCCAGTGTATAATATTTTCTGAACTACTAATATCACATTTTGTTACAAATTGTCCTAAGCTTAAACTATATTTCATTAAATGACCATAATACTATTTTTATTAAATTACACTTAATCTATTTTTCTTCTTGAAATAAATTATGATAAAAAAAAATTCATACTAATTTCATGACATATTCTCCATTAAAGTCGAATAAATTAAACTTTAACTTTTGAGAGTAATTGTCTAAATAAAATCTTAAGTACTTTTTTTTTAACAATTTAATTAATTTCTTAATTTTTCATGAATATATTGCATGTAAAAGAACGTATTTTTTATTTAAGTAATTTATTAACTTTTTCATCAATATATTGTATGAAAAAGAAGGTATTTTTCTACGGTAAAAGGTTTAAATTGAGTATAATAAGTTTTATTATTAAAAATGAAGTTTTAATAATAAGTCAATACTTTAGAAAATGGTATTTACAAATCTATTTTATTTTTTCATTTTTTATGATAAATTGATAGTATAGTTAATATTTAAGTAAGATAAAAGATAATAAAAAAATAATTTAATAAGAAATTTTAATGAGAAAGAGTAAAATAGTATTTTGCGATATGTTTATCCTTAATTGCAACAAACCAATACCTCATGAGAGTTATTTGCTGAAGGACAATAGTTCAAGGGGGGGGGGGGTTTTGCACTTTACCCTATATCTTATCAGCAAACCTAGAACTTAGCCATTAAATATTTGAAATGTCTTCACATAGTCAATTTGCCATAAAAAGGAATGCGGAAGAGGTGTTGGTGAGTGTTTGCCCTCTAGATAATCTCGGCCACATTCGGTACCTACACTCAGTTTGATATGCCACATATCCTCCAAGCCATGAGTCCAGTGAGACCGATCAATCGCGCTCTGCTTCGTTCAGTTTAGTTTCGTCTAGATTTCGTCAAAGATCGAGCGTCATCATCAGAAATCCGCCAACAGTCTACTATAGACCAAACCTGTGATACCTCTCAATTTTTGAACGCGGGTTGATCAATTCCTCACCCAAAACCGGGAGATATCAAACAATTAATATTTTAAAATAAGCATAGAATACAAAATGAAATAAGAATAAATAAATAATCGTTGAAAGGAAAACTAAAATAATAAATAATCCTCTAATACCAAAGCTATGAATAAATCCAATAAATATTAAATCTCCACAACCAACGTAAACCTCCAAAATATAACTCGGGAATTCGTAAAATATGGACCCCTAATTAAAACCCAAAATTGAAAGTAATAATAAGTTTAAATAATAAATGAAGTCTAAGATAATGTCCTACATCAAAATTCAAAAGAGTGAATGTGAAAGCTCTCTGATCAGCACATACAAACTCTATGTCTGAATTGATGTGGACCTAAAAAAAAAAAGTGTGGGTCAAACACATAAATAAGCCCTTTCTACTACAACCCACTCAGAGAACCGATAAACGATACGCCCATATCCAAACTCATGCAATATCTACGTAGTCGATATATATATATATATATACACACACACACACACAAAAAACGCTCACTCTATATAAGGCAGCCTCAACCTGATAGCGGGTATCACTCAACATAGTACATAAAGTAATCAGTGTACATGTCCCCTCTACTACCAAGGCTGGCAAATCACCTATACGAGCTACTCGTCTCATCCGACAATATACGCCTCAATCCTAACCATTGATCCCGAGTCATCAAGCTCGTATCATGGTTCACATATAAATATATAATAATATCATCAACAAGCCATATCTAACAATGGCACACAATGTAGCGTGTCTTGACTTATTAGTCGGCCCAGCTACTCATTAAATAACGAAGTCATATCTAACAATGGCATCCACTAGTGAATCTAAACTTATTAGCTAGCTCACGTGTTTCCACAAGACATACATGTATCTGTTGGGATATGTGTGCCCCAGCATAGTAAATTCTTATTTTGGATTGTAAAAGTCTGGTTCCTTATCTGAATATTATTATTAGAGTATTATACAATTGGTGAATGGAATGTATTATTTTTCGATTCATTATGGAATTGATTGTGTCCACTTGATTACAAGAAATATTTATATATGTATGTAATGGCAATTAATACTATGTTATAAATTAGTAATCATAAATGGTTCAAAGTCGGTAATTATGGATGGACATTTAATTAGTTAAGACTTGAACCGAGTCCACGATAAATTGAGATATATTGCGAGAGCTGTCGTATGCAATTGCTCTCTATCACAGTCATGACTTTTGACTCTCAAGTATGAGAGAAGTATAGACTCTTTTATTAATTAATAATTACTTTGATTTGTTCGGCGGATACCTCGGGATCCTTAGATCGACACTTTGGGTAGTTATGTAATTAATAGTTAGAGGTCTATATTCTCAATATTTGCATCAGTGCTATTTGTATTTATTTTGTTTTGATTATGGTTGATCACAAATTAAATTCGAAGGCCTTCGTATGTTTTAGACAAATGTTTTCTATATTTATTTATTTAGTAAATTATTATTTTTGTCAAATAAATATTTTATTGTGATCGAGCTGGAAATAATCAAAGGTAATAAAATAATTATATTAATTATATTGTCGGATTGATGGCTTTAATTATCCGATAAATAATTATACATAGAGGGGTCAAAGTGCAACATTGACTTAGATGTTATTTACTATTTAATTGGAGTGCAATTAATTTCTTTTAGTGGAGTAGAAATTAATTTATGAATTAATTTAATTGGGTCCATGGTTTAATGGACCGGACCAATTATTAATTTATAGGAGCCAAGAAAATAGTAAGCCCAAAAGGATTCTCACCAATAGCCCAAGTTGATATTGGAGTCCTGTTAGAATTGAGAAAGTTGATTTAGAGATGGAGAATGATTTATTGTTTTCTTATTCTTATTTTTATTTTGCCTATATATACATGGGTCCATGTATATTTTATGGGTGACTTTTAAAACAAGAAAAATGAATACACTTTCTCTATCTAGATTTTAGGGTTTGTTTTCTCTTCTAAAAGGAAGCTACCACAAGCCTAGATTCCAAGGTCATTCATTAAGACATATTGGTAATTCCTAAAGGGAAGATTATAATAAAGAAGAAGGAGAAAAGATCTTACTAAAGGGATCTACAATAAGTGAAAACATTCACTTTAGAGGAAAGATTAAAAGGTTTACTTAGACCTTTGATGTAAGTATTCAATCTGTTTATTGAATCATACATCATCTTTTATTTATTTTTGCATAAAACTTGTCTTTATGTGATGAATCAAGATCCAGGATTGCAAATCCTTCAAAAGTTTTTAAAAACTTGCACATTTCCCAACAGTGAAATCAGAGCATGGTTTGATTCATTACTAGAGATCATGTGTTTATCAAAATCATCTTCATTGATCCAAATTATATATACATATATATATTTGTTGATGTATGATTTATTATATTGATACATGATGATGTATGTATAATTGTGAATGGATGATGATGTGTGTTAGGGTCATGGATGAAACTTATAGGTATATTAAATGTAATTTTATCTTTGGATGAATATAATTAAGGCTTTGATTTAGCCGTTTGAAAATTCAATTATGTAATTTAATTTTTTCCATTGTATTTCAAATTGTAAGTATTTATTAAAGTCATGTAATATTCATCAAAGGATGCTATGAAGCTTTAAGAAAGTTCGAAAGGGTTAAATTATGCTTCAGTAATTTTCTGAAATTTTTCTGAATTTTTCAGAATTTTTCTGGAATTTTTTTAGGCTTAATTTAATTTTCTAGAATTTTTTAATATTTTTCTGAAATTTTATTGGCGATTTTCCGGTGACCGGAGGATCGCCAGCGACAAGAGGAAGCACTGGAGGAAAACAAGGGATCTGGTACATCATGGTACACAAGTATACTGTGCACCCAATTGAGTAGCCATTGGATCAAGTCAAAACAAGAGGAGTAATCACATGTAGTGCAGGAGGGGTGAGCCTGGCGCGTGAGGAACACGAGCCAGGAAGTGGCAAATGGATTACATGCTGGCACATGCATCACACGCGCCAGCCAAGGAGTTTTTTCCCTCTACGCGCGTGGAGGCGCGTCCCAGCACGTCCCACGCACAGCAACTCGCCCCAGGCGCATGCAAACGCGTGGGGGCGTGTGCCTTGATCCTTCAGCTTCCCTAGGTGCGTGCCAGAGCTTGTGGGACCCTCCAGGCACGTTCCAAGCGGCGTTTCGCGTCTTCGATCGCGTACCAGCTTCCTACAGGTGTTTACAAACTGTTGAAGGATGCCAAAACAGCAAGAATAGTGTTTAAATGTTAAAAGCTGAATCCATTGGCCATTTAAATTACTTCTGTCTATGTTTTGATTATTTATGTGATGCATGGAATAATTTAATACTGATTATAATTGTTCATGCATTGGATCCATAATTTTTTTATCTAAATGGCTTGATTTATATTAATTAAATTATGAAGATAAATTGGATTAGATTGCTAATTAATTTGAGGGCATTTATTGGGAAATGAAAAATTATTTTTGTAAATTATTTTTGCCTCAAATTAAATATTAGTGAATCATTTAAAAATTCATATATTTTCTAAATTTAATTGGATTAAAATCAGGGCATTTTGCATGCATTAAATCATGAATAGAAAACCCTAGTTATATTTAATTA